TTCACTGCTCTTTGGACTTTCAGAGATGAATCTCTTCTCTCACGTGCCAAACTTCTTATGGATTGAGTTGGATCTTTTTTAATTGATCTCTTTAGTTTTAAGTTGAAATTATGATCCTCGACCTGCTGTGACTTCCTGAGCCAGATTTCCTCTCTACTGTTACATCTTTTTTTAAACTTATTCACCTTTCTCTTGATGGTTTTCGAATGGACTTTGAAGATGGAAGCCAGAGTATGAATGGTGGTACTCTTACTGAAGGTCTGAATGATCTTTTTCCTTTCGGTATTGCTCATTTGGGAAGAAAGTGGGTCGAACGAAAAAACAATTTTAACCTGCTCAATTTTTACCTCAATAACTCAGAGGGGTTTTCATTGATTCTTACGACAAATGGTGACAAGACGGCAAAACGTCTTATCTGAAAATATGGAAAAAAGAAACTCACTTAAGTTAGTGACTTTTTAGATATTAAAAATATTGTGGGATTGATTATTATGCTGTTACACGATTTGGACAATTTTGCTGTTACACCCAATATATATATATATATATATATATATATATATATATATATATAAACAAATAATTATGGAATTTTTATTTATAACCCGACATTATTTCTTATTACTGTAAAAGTTACATGTTAGTGGTTACGCAGCCTTGAGTAGACAGCTGTTTTGGTGGTGGTGTTTTTTACAACAATATTTATTTAACAATATAATTGTTGTTTATCGAACTGTTTTTCAGTCAAATATACCCCAGGACAGAGTTAAAAACTGCGCCTCCCTTACACGGGGGAAACACTAAGCTATACGATGGTTTCCCCTACATAAGGGAAATGCAGGATCGAACCAAAGCCTGTCGCATACTCTTTTTTTAAAGATTATCGAAAAACCCAGATCAGTAGACGACAATTACACCGCTAAAATAATAATAAAAAAGGAGATGTCTACTGAAACATGGGATTGATTGATTTGATTTTTCACGGCTTATCAACCTTTTGCAAGTTATTTAAAGCCAGAAAATATTTTTAGATTGTAAGAATTCTTTGGGCGTAATAATGATTTTACTGTTACAAGTTTTAGCTGGGGTGGAGGAAGATGTGGTTTCATACCTTTCCCCAAATGTATTCCTGCGTAATTGAATATAACGAATACAACTGGAATTAGAACTCGGCTCTCCCATTTCTAATTCCTGATCGTTATTTATTACACCACCCGCACATCCAAGTTTACAGCACCTGACATTCAGAAGCGGTCATCCATCGAGTTACTGAACCTCACTCACTTTGTGTATTTACTAAATATAACGTTTATAGTAACACATCTATCTATCTATAGTCAGAGAGAGAGAGAGAGAGAGAGAGAGAGAGAGAGAGAGAGAGAGAGAGAGAGATGTGTTTAATAAAATCATGGCTAATGTTATCAAGCGGTTATATTAAACATTTTCAAGATGTTTTATGACAAGTAATCATTAACAATGAAAACAAATTGTTCTAATTTTCATATCCTGCGTTTAATGCTATCATCCGTTTATTATTATCTGAAAGACGCAAATCTGTATCTTAGAGTGACCACAGTAAGCGATTTCCACTCTCTCTTTCTCTATCCCCATAAATACACACACACACACACACACACATATATATATATATATATATATATATATATATATATATATATATATAATTAGAATTAATATAAGTAAGAGGTTTGTCACTTAGCTGATTGAGGTTACCTTCATCATCCCGACTTCAGAGTTTCCTAGGCAGACCCGTCCGTCCACTCGTCAGGAGGTATCAGCCATTGACTTACTGCTTGCCTTAAATGTCTTTTCTCTCAGTATCCCACTGACTGACACACACACACACACACACACACATATATATATATATATATATATATATATATATATATATATATATATATATATATATAGTTATTTATGTGAGGTTGCATCAATATGTCCGTATCATTTCATGAATTTAATCTGAAATTTTCACTGTAAAATGTTCAAGCGATGTGATGAATATGTACCACTGAATTAAAATAAATACATTGTTTAGGGAATAAATAGTTGCGGAATTATTCATCTACCTACCTACCTATATATATAGATAGATAGATAGATAGATAGATAGATAGATAGATAGATAGATTGTCTTTTGTGGTTAATAAAGCATACTGATTTATAGACACAGACTAAACTTTATAATCAGCACAAAAAAGTCAAATCGACGAACAGTATGTTGCATTCTCTTTTGTATAAATGTCCTTGGTAAAGGCATGAATCCATCTTTTTTGCACTTCCCGCTAACTATGGGTTAAATAAACATCAGATTAAACTGTGGCCATAAACTGTTGTTTCTACTCATTTCTCCTCAGAATCCATCATGTACATTTATAAATCCACCATCTGTCAAAGCATTGAATACTGATGTCATATCTGGTCTGGTGCTCCTACTATAGATATCGAGATTTTTGACAACAACCAAAGAAGGATCTGTAGTACAATTGGTCATGGTCTGGCCTCTCGACGAGACAAGGTTTCCCATTGTCTTCTCTACAAATATTCTTGTTCAGGTGAGCCTTCCTCCTTGGTACCTCGATTGCGTGAAAGTGTGATACTAGATTGGTAACTACGTCTCACTATTTTACTATTGAACTAGCGAGATGCAACCGTATGTTTTATTCTGATAGTTTCTTTTCTCGCCTATTGAACTCCCTTCCGATTTCTTGCTTCCCTGTCAACTACAATCTTCTAAAATTTAAATGCAACGTCAATCGCCATCTTTTGATTTCTTTCTCCTCATTTCTCTTCACTAAAGTCTTTTCATTCTCTTTCACTACCTGCAACCTTTTTGTGTTTTAGTGGCATTATCGTCTTGCTTCGGGTGAAATAAATAATAATAAAAAATGTATAATCCATATTAAAATGAATTGTCTGGACATGGTTTTGTTCACAAAGGAATTTTGCGTAGTTTTTCTACGCTCCATAAAAAAACTTCAAAAACATAGGCTGGGCGAGGTGTAGTTTTGTCCAGTACTCCAAGATGCTGCAAATTCCAAATCATTAACCTTAGAACTTGTGTCATATTCTTAAAGAGCCTCGTCAGATAGAGACTCCATTATGAATGCTATGCATGGAGTCTAAAACATTCAAAAATATCTAAACTACCAATTCTATACAACCGTTTTTTTTGTTTTTTGTTTTAGATCAATAATTAAAAATGACTTTATATGAATGGATCTTTTTAAAGAAGACAACACTTCAGCAGGGCTTGTAGACTGGCGCTACATAATCACAAAGAACTTTACATAATAACAAAAATCACATCAATTGAAGACTTCCCATAGCAACAACAGCTAAAATGGTTAGCATATGTAATTAGAAGAGAAATTAAGGATATAAGCAAAATGTTCTCTTGAGAGATTTTATTTTCTAAAAAAAAAAAAAAAAAAAAAAGAAACAAGAAAGATGCTGTTTTAAAAGAATTAATTTACTCTCACGCAAAAAAAAAATTAATTAAAATTCTTTTCTAATAACGTCAGTTCAACATTTCCAATTTTGTTATATGTATATGGTGGACTCTCTCGTCGTATTCGACGTATGAGGGTCAAGCAGTTCAGTTCCTAGGAACGTACAGCCCAGACACCAGCACATGTGATTTGATCATAGTCGTGAAGGTTTTGTGCAGCACCAATCACAGTTTTTGAAGGGCTGAAAACAGAGACCTGGTGCCAAAAGGTCCCCAAACAAACTTCTGCAGTTTATGAATTGAAAGCAGTTGATCAAACCTTCTGACTAGACCAGTTGACATTCATGGCTATAGAACCCAGACTGTCCTGCTAATTACCCATAGCTGGAAGGAGAAGAAGAGGATTCATACCTTTCCCGAGGGTATTAGCACGTAACTAAAGGTACTGGATTCGACTGGAATTCAAACTCGGCTCTCTGAGCCACTACCCACTACCCCACCGTTTGCTGTGCGTGTGCACGCGCACGTGTATATATATATATATATATATATATATATATATGAAGAAAAATATACTGAAAAAACAAACAAAAATCCTAATATGAGATTATGCTGTTTTAATGTTTAATGTCAACGTCGGACGTTTCGGTCTAATAGGCCATCTTCAGGACATATTCATAAAATTTAATTAACATAGACCATATACAATTCAACATGAAAAAGACGATGGACATAAAAGAAATACCAATCCAAACAGATAACTGAAATCTTTTTTCATGTTGAATTGTATATGGTCTATGTTAATTATGTTTTATGAATATGCCCTGAAGATGGTCTATTAGACCGAAACGTCCGACGTTGACATTAAACATTAAAACAGCATAATCGCATATTAGGATTTTTTTTTCAGTATATTTTTCTTCATACTGTCGGATCTATATCCATATATTTGAGCTTATATATATATATATATATATATATATATATATATATATATATATATATATATATATATGGTGGACTCTCCTGTTGTATTCGACCGTCCAGACACCAGAACATATGACGTGATTATAGTGGAAAAGGCTTTGTGCAAAACTAACCACACTTTTTGAAATATACTGAAGGGCCGAATACAGAGACTTGGTGCACCATGTGCCACAAGGTCCCCAAACAACCCTCCGCAGGTTTTGAATTTAGAGTTGTTCAAGGCTATAGAACCAAGTCTGTTCTGCTATTTACTAGAGTGAGAAGAAGACGATTAATACCTTTCCCTAGAGTGTCAGCACGTAGGTGAATTAAATAGATTCAACTGGAATTCGAACTCGGCTCTCCGATTCCTCAATCCGAGGCGCTATCCACTAGTCCACTGTATGAAACTTGGCGTAACACAGTCTTCCTAACCTAATTTCTCTCAATATAGTCACATGTTGTACTAAACTGTCAAGATACGACACTGGCAGTGAACGATACTACGAAATCATATGAATTCCGAGCTGTTGTACATCACACCAGTCGGACATCCAAGCTTACAGCAACTGGTATTCACAAGTGGTCACCCATCTGGGTACTGACAAGGCTCCACATTGCTTAACTTCGGCGATCGTACTAGAACTGGTGTTTCAACTTGATGTGGCCGTAAGCCTCTTTATCTTCGTATATGTTTTCTTTACCGAGGTCTTGTTACAATTCATATATGTAATTTGACAGAGCGTCGGGTTTGCCACTGAACATTCCGTTAACAACGATGTATGAAATGTTATATGCTGTTTAATCTTTCCGTTAATTATCCACGTTAAAACGGCTTTAATGTGGAAAAAACTATATCGAAAGTAAGAATTCTGGATCAAAAATATGATTCAACCATGATCATAAACAGAAAAAGTAACATTTTGTTTTTATTTTATTGTTTAGAAATAAAGTAACTCATGTTATGCTGACTTAATTGGTCGTAAATATATTTTTTTACGATTATGAAAGTAGAAAGTAGTAGAAAAATTACCTTATTTGACGGTATATAAGGCACACTTTTTTAATAAAAATATCTTTTAAAATTCCCCTGCGTCTTCTATGCCATATGTAGGTTTAAAATTCACGATAGTCGGCCGAAATTGGCTACCTGGCAACTCCTATTAGCTTAGACTTAAAGATGAAGGATCAATGGAACACGTGGAATGCAATGCCTGATCACGACCTTACACTTACATGAAGAATAAAAAGACCCAGCATTACACAAGTCTGCGAATTGGTGAAGCAAGCTTGAGTGAATCGAATGGGTGAAGCTTTGGATATCAGACAAGAAATTGTTGTGAAATCATTTAAAAAGTGTGGCATTAGCAATGCTCTTAATACAACGGAAGATGACGCATTATTTAACGACGATGATTGTAGTATTGAAAATGAGTATCAGAGTTTTGATAACGAAGACGACGAATTTTATAGATATGAAGATGAATAAAATTTTAATGGTAACTGTACTGTTTTGCTCAGTTGTAATAATTACTTGATTTTTATTTTGTTTTCTTACTTTTGGATATTATAATGTTTTTATAAGCCAGTGTTCTTTTTTTCCTACTATTTTTGGTTTAATTGTAATCATGGCTCGTTTAACCAAAATAATACCTCATAAATATAGCCTAGGCTGTACCATTTACTAATAATTTTACTAATTACTAATTTTTTCTTGATTTTCCCTGCTGAAATTGGAGTGCGTCTTATACAACCGTGCGTCTTATATGGCGTCAAATACGGTATCTCTTAAAATGCGGCCTTCAACAGTAGAGGGTTCGGGTAAACGTTTTGTACACCTCGGTTTCTTCTTTATGTGCCGTGTTCCTTCGGGACGTAGGCAATCATGGCTCTTTACAATTTTGTAGCTCTTCATAAATTTTGTCTTTTTGTTATTTCTCCTAAAGCCTGTCCCACCATCTATTTACTCATGTTCATTTATTATGTTATACGTTGTCCTCCTCTGTCCCTCTTGCCATCAATCTGTCCTGTGAGTATCAGATTTTCCAAACTTTCCTGCCTCGTTATGTGCCCCAGAATCTTCAACTGTCTCTTCCTGATATTAAGTATGGATTTCCTTTTTTGTTTCCATTTTCACTAAAACCTCGTCGTTGTACACATATTCGGTCTTTGGTATATTCAGCATCCTTCTGTAGAACTACATTTCTCTTGCTTCAAGTAAGTTATTCATCTTTGAAGAGATTGTCCAGCATAAGAGGACAAATATCGCGTAACAGTTAAGTACTCTTTTCTTTGTTTCTAACTATTTTTTTCTGTCTCTTAATATTCTGCTTAGCTTTTGGATGGCATCTTTGGCTATCCCAATATGCCTTTGGATTTAAGTGTCGCATTTTCCGTCCTCTGGTAGAACACTTCCCAGATTTTTAATTTTATTGTACATTTTGACTTTTGGTATCTCTGATTTGTAATTTGCATTTTGGGGCCATCCGTTTGCTAACAAACATGCATTGTAGTTATACTTAGTCCTTTCTTCTCGCTTTACTTCACTGCCTTCTGTAAGAGCTTTTGTAGTTTCCTTTCTACGTCTGCTATCAACACTGTGTCATCTGCATATCTTATGTTGTTAAGATTGTGGCCACCAATACTGAATCCTGGTAGGACTTATAATACTCTCAGAATTGCTTCCCTGTATACATTGAATAAGTCCGGTAAGAAGGTACATCCTTGCCTTACACACTTTTTTATTTTTTCTATATCTACTGAATCTCATTTACAATATCTAACAATATTGGATTAAATTTACTGAATTTCATTATGACATTAACAACTATAACAACTTTAATAGATGATTTTTCGTTAATTTTGTAGTATAAATGTTGTAACCTAGAGAAGGTTACTGAATAAAATAATCCCACGAAAGTTGGTAATAAACGATAGTACTTAAGACAAGAACAACGCATATAAGATTCGCCAGCGGCGCGTAGAAGTAGTAGTCATCTACTAGAAGTAAGTCAAGTGAATTCCACAATGAATCTCCAACTGCAGGATCTCTACTAACCGCCCTACGTGGTCAGCTGTGTCACAAGGCCGAATTTAATGCTCGGCCAAAAATTCCCCGTAGAGCTCGTATCAAACGGGGCCGAGTAGCTGTTTCTCGAAACGAGATTCTGCCCTTCGACATAGCCTCGTCTGGGAATCCTCTCTGCCCGGAGGAAGAGAGTTTGACCAGCACAGCTGGAGGCGAATCTCCAACTGCACACCAACATACAGTATTTACTACTATATTTATATGAATTAGGACATACCCATTATCGTCCGAAGGTATGCTACAATAATGAAATATAATTTTTTTCATCGAATTCACCCCAAGCAAGGCAGTATAGCCACTAAGACACAACGGCTTGCTCCTATTTTATATTCTACTAAACTAAAATAAAACTCAACATACGTGTTTTAAATACCTTTTAAAAAGAAAAGCACAAATTACTTATAAAAAATTAAATCTTTTCATCAATATGTTTTTGTTATAAATAGCAATATAATAGAGAAAAGTATTAAATTAACTTTATGTAAAAAATAAAAGCATTTTAAAATAAACTTCCTAGTGTAAAAAACGAATCGAAGAAAAATGTTTTCGGGAGAAAAGTCTGTTAAAAATTAAACGTAACAAAATATTTTAAATTAATTTTCTTGGAAGAGACTTTGTAACATTTTGTCGGGATAAAGATTAGAAAAAATCAGATTAAAAAAATATTTCTTTAAATCAAGTAAAGTTAAAATGTTACATACATGTTTCAAGTATGAAACCGACTGTCGACGCTTCCTGCTGGCATCAGTGTTTATTTTTATATTTTCATACGCTCTGATACTGAACACTTTTACCCATAAATCTCGCATACCTTAAAACTACATTTCTATCATTATATATATATATATATATATATATATTATAATGGATTTATTTTAATCAAATTGTTTTATCAAATGTTATTTTTGTAGATACTCGTGTCTGAAGTAGAAAACTGGGTGTTTATTTCAAATACGATATTTTCTAAAAATAACGTAATATATATATATATATATATATATATATATATATACTACACACACACAAACAATATATATATATATATATATATATATATATATATATATATATATATATATATATATGTAGGTAATAAATTGAATCTTATTAATACAATACAGAATATTAAATATTTCATATTAAAACTGATTCCACCATAGACATCAATGCTTTAATTAAACTAAGCAACATATTTTATGTAATTCCTTTTGTTATATACGCATGTATTACGTTATATATATATATATATATATATATATATATATATATATATATATATATATATATATATATATATGTATATTTTAAGCAACCTTGCTTCTAAACGTATTTCATTAAATGTGGCAGTGAGGTAAGTTTAATTAATTTTTTATCTAGTTTTTCCAACTTCCTTACGTTTTTCCGTTTTATAGAAATAAGGTAGCACAAAACTTTGCATAATTTTCATTCTCACAAACGCTTTTAGCCACTTCTTTAGCCATTTCCAGTATATATATATATGTAGATAGATAGATAGATAGATAGATAGACTAGAAAAACTCGGATTAAAAAAATATTTCTTTAAATCAAGTAATGTTAAAACGTTACATGCATGGTAAAAATTCATACGTCTTTTCATTTGTTAGAAACGGAAATAAAGATTCCTCAAAAATAAATAAAGTTGATAAATTCATGGATATGCTTTTATGAATAAAAAATTCGTAGAGAGGAATATTAAAGTGAAAAATGTTAAATTAACTTCCAAGTAACAAAACCAGTTTTCCTGAATTACATTTTTTTAGTGGAATTCGCGCAAAAAATGTTTGTTTTTGCAATAAAAACATAAAATAATATAGCAAGTCCGAAGGAAATAAAATAAATAAACACTTCAATTAAATACGCTAAAGTTCTTCAAATAAAAAAAAAACAGAATTTTCTTAAGCCAACTAGAACCATAAACCCAAACTGAAAATAAAAAAAAGAACTTCGCTCCTTATGGAAAGACGTTATTTGCAAATGACGTACATTTCAGGGCGAGATGTGCACTATGACATGGCCTTAAATACAAATCGCCATGGACACTATTCAAAGGTTTCCGTTTGAATTCCAGTGGGCCCACTTTCCAAGATATCCAACTGAATCCCTGTTCATCCAGATTCAATGATTTTCGTTTAAATCGGGGTTTATTCCGGTTGAAATATTTTTGTTTGATTCCCAGTTTATCCAGGTAGAAAGATTTCCGTTTGAATCTCATTTTTTTCAGGTTCAAATGTTTCCATTTGATTCCAGATCTATCAAGGTTTAAAGGTATTCTTTTAAAATCCCAGTTTATTCAGTTTCAAATGTTACTGTTTGAATCTCAGTTTATCCAGATTCAAATATTTCCGATTGAATCCTAGTTTATCTATGTTCAAAGATTTCTGTGTGAATCCCAATTTGTCTTGGTTTATCTAGTTTCAAAGATTTTCGTTTGAATTTCATTGTGTCCAAATTCATTTAAGTTCAAAGATTTTCGTTAAAACTTCAGTTTATTTTGGTTCAAATATTACCATTTGTATTCCAGTTTATCTATGTTCAAAGATTTCCGTTTAGGTCCCAGTTTATCT